CTCATTGTCGCAATGAGGCGGTATGATTTGCAAACAAGTCATTCCTTTAATGCAACTGTAAAATGTCATTTAGTTCAACAAAGGCGAAACTGCAAATCATGTGGTCTGCACTCCAAAAAGAGAACAGTGCTGGTTGTCTGCACGATTAAAAAAAAAAAAAAAAGGAAAAAACATGGCAGCAAAACGTCATGTTAGTGATGCGTTTTCCATGCTGAGATAAAACAACTAACATTCCTTGTACCGGTATGTTGTTTTTAAAAAATATAAATACTGTATGTCTGTGAGCAAAGGTTATTCCTACTGGCTCAGGGTTGTACTGCAGGAACACCGTAAACTGACTTAGGATGGAAACTATTGACGCATCATGATAAACAGACCCTTCCCTGTCTTACTTTTTTTTTTTTAGCAAAGCAGAGATAAAGCTTGAGTCAACATTTCACTGTTTGCACTGTCTTTGTGTCGAGGTCATGTATGAATGAAGGAGGAGCCGAATCACAATGCATTTCACCTGAAATATGAGATCACAAACTAATGAAGTATTATACAACCATGGTCTTGCCCTGTTGTTGTTCTGCAGGGGCTTGCATGCGGCACGCCAGTGTTGGAAATTAACATGATCAAGTTGTTGTCTGTCGTTGCAGCTGAGAAGACCGGCTCTTTGGGATGCTGTGGGTGGTTTATAGTCATACTGGTTGGCTTCTTCACAATATGCCTCTTCCCCTTCACCATTTGGTTCTGTTTGAAGGTGTGTGTGTGTGGGGGACAAGTGGTTTGGTGGTCTGGAACTTTCATATCCTTTGGCTGTTTGATTGCGGTTCGAGCTCATGTCTGATTCTTTCTGCAGATAGTTCAGGAGTATGAGCGTGCAGTTATCTTCAGACTAGGCCGCATCACAGACAGGAAGGCGAAAGGACCAGGTATGAACAATCAGTGTGTTTTTGTGAACATTCTAACATTTGAGCTTACTGAAGTAATATATTTCTCCACTGTGAATTCACAGGGATTTTCTTCATTTTGCCCTGTACTGATTCATGTGTTAAAGTTGATCTGCGAACTGTTTCTTTCGACATCCCTCCACAAGAGGTAATGATGGCACAAACCCCGAAAATGTTCTTGTATCTATGGCTATCGCCATGAAATGCGCTGAAAATCATTACATATTTGATGTCTTTAAAATACTGTCATTGGTTTTCACTGATGCTGTCTTATTAATTAGAATACAATATTTGGGCATTGTTTTACATTTGAATCTATCAGCTGGTAAATGTTTGGCGCCCCCTAGTGACAACGGCACCCTTAGCATTTGCCTTTACGGCCGAAATGGGTGCGTGAGCTTTGGTAAACATCACGCACGTCAAGAGGTGTTTATAACGATGTCTTTTTTTTTTAAATCATCTTTATTTTATTTATGACCACACTGTATCATGTTAAGAATATTTTTATCATCATGCTTGCTTTTAGTCTAAGCTTCATTCATTGTATTTATGAAGCAGACTCAGACGTGCTCTTGTGAAGATCTCAAGTAGATTTTTTTTAACGAATTTTTAAAACGATTCATTCTGACTCAAAGGGCCTTTAAAAAAATTTTTTTTTTTTTTTTTGCTCCCCCAGATTCTGACTAAGGACTCAGTGACAGTCAGCGTGGATGGCGTGGTGTACTTCCGAGTCAATGACCCCATCGCCTCTGTCGCTAATGTGTCCAACGCTGACTTCGCCACCCGTTTGCTCGCCCAGACCACCCTCAGAAACGTCTTGGGCACGAAGAACTTGGCTGAGGTGCTATCTGACCGCGAGGGGATAGCTCACAGCATGCAGGTATGGATAAACATATTCACAAGTGCTGGTTCAGAGTCACCAACCACATTCTCCTAACTCCGGACGGACTTTTTTCTCACTATTTATTTTTAGTCAAGCCTGGATGAAGCGACAGACGACTGGGGTATCAAAGTGGAACGTGTTGAGATTAAAGATGTGAAGCTACCCGTTCAGCTGCAGAGAGCCATGGCTGCCGAGGCGGAGGCTGCACGAGAGGCCAGGGCCAAAGTAATAAAACGAGTTATTCTTTACTCATCACTATGGGTAGCTTTTACCCCTTGTTGGGTCAAAGTCTTGAGCCAACGTGCTGCGCCAAACCCTCCACCCAATTTTCTGGGTATAAAAAACCCAGCATTGGGTCAGTCTCTTTTGGACCGAGAACTTGGGTTACTTTTAACCCAGCAGTTTTTAGAATGTATACTTCCCACCACTGCTGCTGCCACTAAGGCCCACATGCTAATCCACTCATATAGGTGATAGCCGCGGAAGGTGAGATGAATGCATCCCGCGCCCTGAAGGAAGCGTCGCTGGTCATCGCCGAGTCTCCGTCAGCCCTGCAGCTCCGTTACCTGCAGACCCTCAACACCATCGCCGCAGAGAAGAACTCCACCATCATTTTCCCCCTGCCAATGGATGTCCTTTCTCACTTTATGCGCAAGTAGTAGCCTTTTTGGCTGATGTTGCTCTTCCGATGATATTATGCCGTTGTCGAAAGACTACATTTAACAGAGGATTTGTTTGATGTTGAGGTCATGTCATCGTAGTCAGTGCTCTTTTGCTGAGACAGTGTGTAAAGGTTTTATTTTTGATGGAACCATTGCAAGCTTTGACACATCAAATTTAAAACGTTCTTTCTGACGTTCTAACCTCAGTGTTCTGATCCATTTCAATTTCCTGACGCTATCAAGAAGTACCTTCAAGTCAAAGTGTGTGTTTTGTAGTAATTTATTAAATGTTTAAGGAGTTTGCTTGCTCACACCTTATGAGTGAGGTCTTGCTTCATGCAAAGTCAATATCACAGTGCTTTAGGTGAGTGCAGCTATACTGTAATTTAAGGACAATTTCCACTTATTGTTTTGAAATAATTTGGACAAAGTATACATAAAATGGATGGTGAGGCGTAATGAAAATTCGGTGATAAAAAAAAGAACATTTGTATGATACAATAGTCAACAGGTACTCCCCAATGGACCACACGCCTGTTCTAAAACAAGCTCACCAATGATGGGCCATTGTAACTTCCTGTGAAAGTTGTAGAATTTAACAATCTATTATAAAGAATGTCAGAACTTGCAGAGATTTTTAAAAATAAAGTGTTATATACTGTATTGAAATGTGTCCTTTTCCTACCTTATTCAATTATTGTGAACAACTGTATTAATGTGATAAAAACCACATTGAATATTGAAACGTACTTTGAACAATTTCAGAAATGTATATCAGACTTTTAGCCCTTTACATTAATCAGTACTCAAGATGTGGCTCGAGTTACGAGTGGCACGGTTTAGGGAAAAATGGACGAGTAAGACAAGAGACCTGACGTCACAATACCGGGAGACAACTGGACATGTATCACTTCCACCGAGAAATTAAGTTGTACTTGCCTTAATTATCTATTCAAAAACACAGTTCAAAAATAGCCAAATAGACAGAGGCAGTAAGGATGTTCAAGTGGACTTTAATTTAATTCGACGACCGTCTATTCTATAGTCTAACACAAGTCATGAGTGGAAACCGGAGCAATTCCTAAACGGACGCAGCTGTCTTCAAATGACATTCATCAAGTAGGTCTGTCACACTTTAGAACTTCATGTTAACCATCACAATACTAGAAATTGAAAGAAGAAAAACAGCAAAGACCGACAAAACATGCTTCTACTACTTTGTCGCCGCACGAAGACACGACTTTGTGGTAAATATATTTACATTCAGACATACAATTAGTGCCAGAACAAAACACATTCATTTCCTCGGGCTCAAGTTGTCATTTACCTCCACGACACTTAAAAAAAAAGAAACAAAGAAAGCCATATTGGGCTTTGTAACAACAGCATTTACAAATGCAATCCTTGTGTAAAAGACAAACGATTTGTCTCATCCGGGGACTAAATGCTACATATTGACATATTAAATGGCTGCTACAAACGCAGTATTGTTTAGACAAGAGGTCCTATTATGTTTCATCAAATCACGTAAATGATAAAAAAATACAGTCATTACATTTTGTTTTCACATTCAGAGCGAGTTAACAGATGTCCACAGGACACACCTGCAGGGTCATTTGTTGTTGTTTTGAATTATATTGTTATTTATTGTGTTGCAAACTGTTATTGTAAACGGTATTATTTTACACCTGAACTGACCCTGAAGTACAATTGTAAATCATTGAAAACACAGTGACTGAGTGACTGGCAGTTTTCTTATAAATAACATTCTCAAAATCATCCAAAACAATCAATCAAATGCTTTGTTTCGCTTGACATTCCTCTGCTTAAGAGCGTTAAACCCTGTCTACCAACCGTTGGGAAAAAAAACCCTCCAAAAAACCTTGTGGTTCCTCGTCACGACACAATTTGCTTTTCGTGGTCATTAAAAATGCTGGTATGGTTAATTCGCATCCGCTTTTGCGGTTTGTTTCCGAGAAGGAAGAAAAGGGCAAAACGGAAACAACGTGTCGTTAAATGCTGTAAAACAGGGGTGGGGTATCATTATGCATTTTGGCGGCCGATTGATTGCATTCGTTTTTTACAGTCGTTAAATATGCTGTAAACAGGGGTGGGGTATGTTATGCATTTTGGCGACCGATTGATTGCATTCGTTTTTTACAGTCGTTAAATCTACGAGTATTATGCATCGATTGAACACATGTTTATCGTTATTGTTTTTGGACCTTTTAATGACTCTTTTGTCGCATTTGCCATACACTGTACACTAGTGATGAAGGTTCCCCCACCCCTGCTGTAAAAAAAAAAAAATACATGACCAATATCCCTATATAACTCTTTCGCCCCTCATCGTTCGCTCTCATTTGTTGTTTATTTACAGCAGTTTGTTTTCATGCAAAGACTAAACACCTGTAAACGCTCTTCAGCAGGACACGGTTGGTGTAAACGGACTGAAAATCAGGATCTTGACTTGGTCAAAGCAGCCCCCATGAGGACCCTGAGGCTGAAATGTGAGTAACGCTCTTCAGCAGGACACGGTTGGTGTAAACGTACTGAAAATCAGGATCTTGACTTGGTCAAAGTAGCCCCCATGAGGACCCTGAGGCTGAAATGTGAGTACATTACAATCCTGGTTTGTTACTAGTGCAGTTTTAAAAAAAAGAAAAACAATTACATTGAGTAGAAGTTATAAAACAAAGAAATTGGAAAGAGATTATTGGAACGTGAAGGAGAAATTTCCCTGAATGATACCTTTTGCAACACTTGAGAAATTAGTGTTATTTGAAAAAGTTTAAAAAACATACTGGCTAGTACATGTTCTGATAAAGCAGACACATCAGAAATTGTTTTTGCTTTGTAAGATTCTTTTAGGACGAGTTTAAAATAATCTTCACAAAAGAGGTAAACTGAACTTTAACGTTGAGCCACTAGAGCCCCTAAAGTCAAAAGCTGCTATTTGGAGAGGAAACACACGCCTCAAAAGTCAAACAAAACAGTTTAAAACATCTTCATGAATGACATCAGTCAAAAAAAATAATTCTCTCGAGACTTCGGCTCATTGAGCATCTAAAAGATTCACTGTATGTTTTGTCTTACAGAATTCGGAGGTTCCACTGTTTCTAGCTTATTGACCGTTAATTCATTTAACAACTGTCCTCTGTACCGTTCATTTCCTTCCTAAAGTTAGCTAAATAAATAGACAAACCACAGCAATAATAAGACTGGGGGGCTTCACGGGAAGAAGCCGGCCCAGCAATTTTGTTTTCAGACGTAGTATCGGAGGCAAAATGATAATTTTGTGATGGCGGGAAATGCGGGATTCAGCGAAGGTGTGTCAAAGTGCACCGTGGATAAAAACTGCATCTACTGTTACGGCGCTGCTGTGGGAATGTTGCCATTGACATTGTAAACAGATTTCAGCGTCACGATCGCTGTTTTGTGTTGTTGTGTCTCTTGAACGTCCACTGAGGCAAACGCAAAACCGATTTCAATCCTCATATCGCGTGAACGCATTTCAATTTGAAATTAATGCTCATAATTATTTGTACAAAATCATAATTTGTGTTCAAACATTCATTATTCAAGGGGTATAACTCCTGCAACATCATTGCTAGATTTGTTAGCCCATCTATGGTTTACATTGTGTGTTAACATCAAGCTGGCTGACGTTTGGATAAGTGTTTGTTTGTTTTTAATAAACAATGTTCAATTTCCTCTGTTTAGTTTGACAGTAACTCCAACTGGGAGAGGCAGTAACATTCCGAAGCACAATTCGCCCCTTTTTTTGAACAATTGTTTAATATCTGCCAAACTATGAGTTGAAGTTTGCTGCCATCATTTGGCGCGCGTATGTACATTTTTTGTTTGGAAGTCAAAGGAAAAAAAAAAATCAAGTCTCGTATCTCGAAAAACACTTAAGTCGGGTCACTCTTAAGTCACGGTATAACTGCACTTCTTTGGAGTTCCTTATCTGCATTTCTGGACAGATACCACAGGTTTTTATGCAAATGAAGGTCTTCCCTAAAACCAATTAAAACCGACAAATAGTTGATAAAAATTGACTGACCTTTGCTGGTGAAACGGCAGAAGTAAGGCGCTTTGCTGCGGCTTTAGCTTTGTAAAAAGAGAACTGGCAAACTCATCCCAGTGGGAGAGTGTGTGACATATTTAATTGAATGCATTTGTGTTCTGAACACAGGATGATTTTGTTCTTGTGTGCTGCTTCCTCGCTTTGTGGGAAGTGACTTCACATTGTCACCATTTGTGTCGCTCATGTACATAGTATATACAACCACTGAGCTAAGTTCTCTTGCATGTTTGGTAAAAACGATCTTTACGTGCAAGAAAGCATCAGCAGTCAAACTCAGAGTAGTCATTTGAGGAAATCATTTAAAATGGAAGGAAAAATGAAGGTTTTTATCTCTGTAAAGTGAGACAAGCTAACGGATTGCGATTGGCTGTGGCCCTGTGAGTGGGTGTGCATGGCCCCGGTGAGTAATTCTGATTGGCTGGTACCCTGTGGGTGGGTGTGGCCGGGCCGGGGGAGTAATTCTGATTGCCCGTATGGAAGGGGGAGGTGGACTGCGGCTGCTGTGGGCAGCCTTGGCAATGGGTGGGAGAGTGGCATCCCAGCGGAGGAGCAGGTGAGGACGAGAACAATGGGGATGACGGGATGGGGGAGGTAGAGAACGAGCGGTGGAGGGGGGAAGACGAAGGAGACATCAGGGGGCTGGTCTGAAGACGCCACAGCAGCTCCTCGTTGTTTCGACTCAGCCTCTTCTTCTCTGTGCTCTCTTTCTCGACCGATTCCTGGAGGTTGGCGTTCTCTTCTGACAGTTGCCTGTAGGAGTACCACAAGTCAGTTTGTCTTGGTTCGGTATGAGGAAACCACCATCTGGTGCGAGTTTATACCACCAGCTGCATAGGCATAAACGGGATACAACAGGACAAAGAAACACAACTATTGTCATTGGCTGTTTTACGTGGCAAATTGTTTGTGCAGTCACAATTGAGACAGTGCGGTGAGAGGTGTGTGCGGCTCCCAGTAGGTCATTCCGACAATATTTGCAAACTGAAAGCTAACATAGTAGGAATGAAGAGGATCAACGCTGGCTTTTCTCTTCACTTTGTAACCACGGGTATACCGCTCTATTTCGATTTGTGCTGTTTTTTTTTTTTTTTTTGAGTTGCCGAACTATTCCATTTTATTGTTTTATATAAATACGTACACATTTATTTAATATTTTTTGGGGGAAGAAAACGGGCATCCTGCAGCTCAAAAACTTGACGTAATAGAGAAAGATCGGTTTTGGATTCTTCACCCAAAACAATTCTTAAACATCTGTCAGACCTCGCGAACCAAAAATGGCATTCCCCAGTTTTATTATAGCCTAGTCTGCCGAACTTGAACGGACCCAAACTATGCTATATTCGCCAGACAAATATGAATTTCATTGAAACGATCGCAAGGAATACGTGTTTTACCGAGATAAGGTGAGGTTCCTTTCAATACGAGCTTTCAGATCTTCATTTTGTTGCTGCAGAACCTGGACTTTCTCCTCCAGGAGCACATTCTTTTGGGCCTGCTCAAAAGTCAAAACCCCAACCAAAGCAATGTCATTCATTCGGCCGACATATTCGCAGTGTAGCTGTCGCGATGGCGACGGTGGCCTATTTGAGCCTACCACTTTCTCCAGGTCGGAGATCTTCTGCTCCTGCTGGTGTATTTGCTGGTTCTTCATTTCCACAACCTCCTTCAAGCTCTTGAGATCCTTCTCAATGTGCTGGTATGGCGCTAAGGCATCCTGTTTGCATGGAAAACAGACCCTGAATTCAAAGACTTGTATGATGTGATTACATTTGAAAGAAATATTCATGATCTGACCAGTCGGTAGGTGTCTCGAAGCAGCAGCGAGGTGTCATAGATTAGCCTTCGGGAAAAACTCACAATTATCTGTTCGTCGGTGCTCTTCCTCAACGCCTCTTCGAAGCGCTTGGCTTTGTCCCGCAGGCTGTGGTTTTGAAATGTGAGCGTGTCCACTTGATCCTAGGTGAGGTGACAGGCAGAGAAAAAAAAAACCAAAAACGTTTTTTCCACCAGCTGTGGCTTCAAAAGCAGTATGTTGTTGGAGCGTACCTGAAGAGAAAGCCTCAGTTTCTCAAAATCCTCCTCAAGCAACATCTTGTGTTGCTCGTGGGCTTTCCTTAAGTCTGCACGCATTTTGCCAGTGAGGAAGAATGAGTTTGCGTCACTTGGAGAAGGTCAAATTGTTATTTTCAGTGTGACCTGCAATTCTACCTCTCATGGTTCGGGCATGCTCCTCGTGCAGCGTTGCCATGGTGATGTTATGCATGTCTCTGAGCTCCTGAATGACTGCCTGGTGGTGAGCTGACATCTCCTCCACCTGGCACACAACACCTAATGAGGACTTGCAATGACTTATCACAAACATTTGCTTGGACCTAATGAGGGTTGTTGGACTTTCGGCTGAAATTCATTTCAGGATGAATCTAAAATTATGCTCAAAAGCTTCACTTTTTTTTTTCTGTCTAGTAAGTAAACAAATCTGATGTGATGCTGCCGTCTTGTCACCTGCTCCTGCTGCTGGGTCCGAAGCTCCTCCATTTCCGACTGATGCTCCACCTTCAGGTGTTCAGTCTGGGCTGAGTGACACTTGCGTAGGTTCTCCTCCGTGGCGGCCAGTTCCGCTTCCTGTCGCGCCCGCAGCTGCCGCAGTTCTCGTTCAAATGCCGATTCCGCCGCAGACTTTTCCAGCTTGAGTCTCTCCCAGTTTGCGCAGTTGGACACTGAACGGGAGGGATGAGTTTGTCGCATTTGAACGTGTTTTGCCCGGGAAGAAGAAGAACGTAACCAAGACAGTAAGTGATGAAGTGTCGACTCACCCATTTGCTCTTTGATCGTTTGTATTTCCTGGAACAAGTTGGATTCATTCTCTTCGGTGACTTTATTCTGATGGGGGGGGGGGGGGGAAAAATAAAATCATCACGTGGCAAAACAGTTGAATTGCCAACATTTGCATCATCTTATTGACATGAATAAATGAATGCAACGGAGGGGATTTTTAGCTTCTGCCTGTTGAACTTGTACAGACAGCAGGTGGCACTGGTGGCCTCCTTTTGTGAGCCCACGCTTCAACAACTCTTAATATTTATCTGCACCTAGAGGCTGGTGATTGCTGCACTCAGACAGCAGCCATAAAGAGAGTCTGGTCACCTCACAGGTTAAATCATTCCCGAGGACTCGGGAGGCTGCAAGAGAGAAGCTCGGTGGCACACTGAACTCTCCCGAAACCTCCCCCGCAGTCGCCAACACTCTCCCCCCCTATCATCATCATCATCATCATCGCGCTCGGGGAGCAAGCTGTGAATCTCACCTCATAGTGTTAAATACCGTCTGTGCTCTTGAGTGCGTGCGCAGCCTACGTTTCAGAAAAGTATAGGTTGATCGAGGAAAGGCGAATCCAAATCAGCCTGGAGAAATGTCTCATTTCTCAAATGAGTCTTGGCGCAACACTGCGGTGGCATCGTCTAACGCTGTACTGTATTCAATTAGCACCGTCACCTTGAGGCAGTAATGCTGAGTGGTGACGATGAAGGCTTCTAAACCCAAAGAGGTCTTCCTCAGTTCTTCTTGCAATGCTTTCAGTTGCTTCTCTTGCTGCTCACAGCGTCCACGCAGCCTCTCCAGCTTATGCGACAGAACACACAATGACATCAATGCCTTGGACTCGCCGGACGGCTCCCCCGGCGCTAATATTTGGGCCAATTTCACCTCCTCGCGTTGCTCCTCGTTCTCTCTCTCCTTTGCTTTCCTTTCTTCTTCTCTCGTCTGAGCATCAGCCTTCTCTTGCTGCGGCTTCAGCGGAGGACCCCGGCGAGGGGAGCCAGGGGCGACAGACCCCCGGGCCAGTCCTCCTGCAGGCCGCTGGCCTGACTGGACTATAAGAGAGGGGGAAAAACAAATATGGGGAATGAGAATCATGAATGCCAGCGATTGAATATTCCATTGATCATCTATTGTTTGCTCCGCCTCTTCTCAATAGAGTGTCGTTTGACTTTGACGCCCTTTCACCGGTTGCCAGCAGATCACAGGGCTTCCCAGTCATTACACACTTGTAAATATTTCCTCGGAATCTGCATCAATTCTTAATCAAACTGACGAGTATCAACCAAGGAAATTTGGCCCGACCTACTGCTCATGGTTGTGTTCACCTGATAAATGACACAAAGTTAATTGAATCTTTTGTCCAGAAAATCCCCAGGGCTCTATCTAATCTCATGATTAACGTGACCGGCTAATGGCCGAAATGCAACATTCCATCAAACCCTTCGCTTCAGTAACTCAAGGTATATTTTTGGGTGCAAACGAACATACGGCACATTTGAATAACTGAAGGTTTCGTTTTAACAATGGGGATCATGGAATATGTGAGTCACCTTGACATGTGGTGACCACATTAGCCATTCTTGGCGGAGCAAATCCTTTTTTTCGCAGTAGCAGGCATTGGGATAAAAAAAGAGAAATTATTGGATGACAACAAACATACCAAATCGTCCAAATAGAATCAATTACAATGCCGTGTTCATCTTAACAATTGGAAACGGCGCTGCACACTTTGACTACCTCGACCTTATCCCTCAAGTCAATTAATGCATGGGTAGCGGTCTCCATGACAACCTGGGGCCGGGCTTGGGTAGCAGGGTCCCAGATAATGAGTGAAAAATCAGTTTGCGGGAGGTGGGGGTGATACGATGAAAAGCCCAGGGTAAAGAAGAGAGGAGGAAGTGGGTTGGGGGGGGGGTGGGGGGGTTTGCCTGAAGCCATTCAACAATTTTAGGCGAAAGGATTTTCCAGTAAAGGAGCAATTTAGACAAAAGAGTGGCAAGGAAAATCTACAATTGGACACACATGCACATATTGTATGTGAACGGCAGACGAGAGGGGGACAATAATGCAAAGAACAATCAGCAATCAGCAACATTTTTTTTTGCTCCTCCATCAGACTGCCACACAAGCAACTTCCTCTAAATTCGGTCGCTATTTCCGAATCTGCGTAAGAAAATGCTGACTCTTGAGTAGAAAAGAGAGAGTCAGCAAATTTGGAGGAAAGCGTAAACAAGGGTAACTTTTTATGCAAGGATGCAATGCAGCCAGGCCACTTCTTCTGTCATCGGATTGTTTATCATGAGTCATGTGTTTTACGGTGACAATTTAGCGATAGTTTCAAGAGCTATGAAACGGATAACTGACCTGGCGACTGAGGCTTGGGCGGAACAACTGCCAGTCTCTTTGGGGAGGACGGGAGGGAGCGCGTTACCTCTGAACTCCGCTGGAACTCCTTCCTGCCAACTGTTAAACGACGAGCATTTCACTCAACGCTGTTTTCGACGAGGGAGTGAGATCATGAGGCTTTGATACTGGACAATACAATTGATATAACAGAAAACGGTCAAAGATCAGAAAGATGAATGAAAAGTCACCGGCCAGGATGAGCAAGTACTCGTCTGCTCCCCGTGACTCTTAACAAACTTTCCAGACAAGACAGAAAACAACTCTAAACTGAGGATGATATTCGGGATGACTTTTCCCATATCAGTTCTTCTCTTGTGTGTCACATTAGATCTGGTGTGGGAGTGTATGTGACGCGTGGGTGTGAAGAAACCGTAGCTGGATTTAGAACAGTCTGTGAAATGCGCTACCTTGATACTTTGGAATGAGGGGGTTGTATGTGGGAGTGGGCGGGTGACAGTGAAGGATTTTGAAGTTAATAAAGGTGTTTTCGAGAGGTTATTGTTTGGAGTCTGTGCAAAGCTGAGATGGCCTTTGAAAAGAAACTAATACAAAGGGTAATATCAGAGAAGAGTCTGATCGTGAACAAATCTGTTAAAACCCCCAAATTGATGTTTCAGGTCTGCCGATGACTGAATAGGTTTGTTCTATTAGCCGCTTCGTTTACATTGGCACAATTGTAGCATTACATGAGTGAGTGGTCCTTTTTCTAAAACAATAAAATTCCATTTATATTATTCTTGATTATTGAATCAGTAATTGACAAATCCCACATTTTCGATTTAAAGAATCAATTTATACTATGCATCCAGACAATTTCAATTCATTTTTTTTTAAAAACCTGCTTGTACTATAAAACTAAGTTAAAAAAATGGATTTTGTTCAAAACTTATACTATGCATCCAGACAATTTCTATTCATCTTTTTTTGCTTTAAAAACCTGCCTGTACGATAAAACTAAGTTAAAAAAATGGATTTTGTTCAAAATAGAATGGTGTGACACAATTTTCTTTTTTTTTTCTTTTTTTTTTTTTAAATAACTTCATAAGTGGAGGAATAATGTATAATTTGTCACTGCGTGTACACTGGCCTTGTTTCTACCCAGCAATGCAGTACGTTTTGCTTTTTTAAGGTGGCGCTAGAGGAACGATACTATTCATGTGACGAAAGTGGAGCAGAGAGTAAAAAAAAAAAAATAAAATAAAATAAAACTCAATCAAAATAAACCCCCCCAAAAATACTGTTCTACTGACCCCCAGGGGAGCTTCTCGGTTGAGCGGGCAGGTAGCGGCGCGGCAAAGCTGGGGTGGACGGTGGCTGAAGGCTGACGCTGCGACATGGCGGACCTCTTTGGTGATCTGTTGATGCCGGGGCGCCGGTCACTCGATGTAGAGGAGGGTCCTCGCTCACACTCAGACCTGGAATAGACATATTTATATGAACTACATTGGATGATATTCTCAATTTATATTTTTTGGGTGTCAAAATTATGTGATGAGAGCGATACGAAAGAGATTTGGTTTCTGGTTCTCTAAATGCGCGCATTCAAGGCCCAGGTTGTGTAATCTAATCAAATAGATAAACACTGCCTGTATCCTGTTTATCTCCCCTATCCGATCGATCATGACACGACGCCTGCACTTCCACACTGTCCTTGTGTGTGACAACGAGGGATAAACAAGCAACTGTGAGTCGTCGTTTCGGCTATAACTCGTCTCCTTTTAGCCTACGTTGTAAGACGTTCGACAAGACAGTTGAAGTGCTGAGGGGCAGCTTGGTGACAGCATTTCCCACACATGCGACATCGAGGAGCAATGTGAATGATAACAAGAGGAGATCCAGGGGTTATATCAAGAAACCCCAACCAGTGGATTTCGTGAAAGGCGACGCCACCGCTTGGCAAAATGTCAGCCGAAGATGGATGCAAGCACACGAGGAGGAGAGTAAATTGCAAGGAACAAAGCAGCTGGGCTCAAGAGGAAGCAAACAATGTAAAAAGGAGAGATGAAGATAGATGAGCTGATGCTGCTCGGATGGAGCCGGTGGCAAGCTTCTGCTCATATGACAAAAATGAAAAACTCCAGGGATATAAAAAAAAAAAAAAAAAAAAAAAAAAAAAAAAGCAAGGGGCAGTTGGAGATTGATTTATTGGTACGGGGTACTTGCAGCATAGTCCTTGCCGCCGTGATTCTGGGGAAAAAGGGGATCACACCGAGGCATGTGCGCTTACTTGAGCCCAGAAAAAAAACCTAAAAGTTTGAAGACAGTCATTCTTTAAATCCGGTTTATTTTGTGGCTTAACCTCACCGGCTCTGTCTGTTAAACACAGCGGGTGGGGGTGAGGGTGGGGTTTCTGTGATGGATGTCAGCTTCATTTTGCGGTGCGCCTCACACATGTCACGTCGTCGAATTAAACTGTGAGATCGAATTCATCACGTCCTCTAATTTGTTCCGCTTATTAGTCAGCGCTTCCTGTCATTTCTGGGAAGTTTTTAGTTCCTCAAATCATCATCGGTCTTAATGAAATGGTTGGAGCCTTCCGCCGTCCTCGTCAAGGGCCTGTCCGGTATTTCTGAAAGGCTGTTGATTTGCTCTTAAGCCATGATTGAAGCCGAGCAGATTGAAAACCTTCCTGTAATGGGTCTTGTTGGGGTATTGTGCCAGTTAGTGGAGCAAAGAGGCAATTTTACACTCCTGAAACGTTAATAACTGGGCGTATCCCCACCGCATATCTGCAGGAAACGCTTATGAATGAATGCATGCATGTCAGCAGCAGTACAGTGTGTGTGTGTGTGTGGGGGGGGGGGGGCAAGGTTAAAGCTGCATTCATAAAGCATGAAGTTATGGCCCCTGCAAAGATGCACCTGAGTAGAAGTCTGAGGGGAAAGATTCCACGCGAGGTGCCCGAGGATAAAGTTCAGTCTGGCGAGAGAGTGTCCGCCGACACAAAAGACAAGTGTGAGGCTGCTCAGTACTTAAATCACACCTCCTCAACATTGGCGCAGAAGCGCTGTGAGCAAAATTGGAAGAAATCATTTCAATGAGTCGCGTTTTCTGACTCTGGAATAGGATGACAAAAGTAGTCACGCTGAGAGATTGATCTGCTCTGGAAAGAATTGTGTCATGTATCTTAATTGTCTTAAAGAGTCACAGATGCCTGTTAGGGTGATATTGACGCTGATAAAATCTGTTCAGTCGAAGCTTAAGAGGACAGCCTGCATGCAGTAGTTGATAATGTGACGATTTTAGGTGAGCTAGGTTACTAACGGGCATTAGTTTAAGATTCACCGAGATCGAAATGTGATTCACACGTCTGTGCTTGAGCCTCGGTTGAATGCTGCGATGAAATGACAAACGGGAGCTGAGGCCTCGACGCCGTCACGGCTGCCGCGATAGTTTTTCTTCCTTTTTCTGCCAAGTGGCATCCATATCTAATTGGCCATCTCGCTTGCTTCTCCTCTCTTGTGTGTCTATAGGTACACATGCGCCACGCAAACCATCTGGTCACGGTGAGCTAGCATGAGTCACACACCAGATCTCAGCTCGCAGCGGTGGCATCTGGGGTGCAACATCCACTCTCCTCGTCGGTGCCAGCCTCTCACACACTTCCTTCCTGGGACTCTGCGTAGCGTTCCGTCATAGAATGACTTCGCCGTGATTTGATTATTGCCTAAAGAGGAGATTGACTGCAGCCCTAATGCTATATTTGTTTTGACGATTGGATTTCCAATAATGTGAGTGGGCTTTACTCCGCAGCCCCCCCATACAACCCCTCCTCCCCCGGCGCTATAACAGAACCTGTCAATCAAAGCGGAATTAGCAGCGTCTTCCCAGTGCAAGCGACACGCATGGATGCTTCGCTCGCTCTCACGCGCGTAAAACACCTTGGGGATGTCAGCGCTAGGATGACGACAGGATTGCCTTAATGGCTAATCAATGTTGGTCAATAACATATACCTACACGGTTGACAGAATTTAATACTTACAGCTTAATATGCACACACAGCGTTTGCGAACCGCGTTCGATCGCTTTTCCTGCTGCTGATCTATAATGCATGTTCGACGCTAACGTTTCTGCCGCCCGAGGGGGGGGCCAAAGTCGAGCGTTCAGCATGTCCAACAAAACGATTTTGCGACAGCTTCGGTGATCGAGGACGGCTTGCCAAAACAATGACGTGTAAATTCCGACGGGGATGTGATGAATGTGATCGGCGTTGCCAATCGCCGGATTCATCAAAACATATCGGTCTCTATTGAGCTGCGTTGTACCGATTGTTTTTCACATTTTGTCCAATAGGTGGTGGCCTAAATCATTTTTGGATGCCTTTTTAATGCCAAATATTCTCTGCTCACTGATCACAGCGGGTTGTTCAGCTTTGACGCTGGGGATCTTCCCCTAACCCACATTACTGAGGCTCGGCTTCATATCGCTCTATTCCTTAATGATTGCTCCTTTCTGGATCATCCGGAGCCCAAACGCAGCCCATTTTTTTCCGTGGATCAATGGTGCGAATGAGCCACTGAGCCCGGTTTCTATTCTCTTTGCTTCAGAATGAGGTTCTGGGTTGCTACGAGTCCCCTGACAAACGCTGCAAAGATGTGTGAAAACTCATCCGTCAATCTGACTGCTCTTTGATCAGATTTCGGAGTGCGCCGTGAGGGGAAACGACTCCTGCGTGAGGAGGCAAAATAAGGTTTTGCAAACACACACACACACACACACACACACACACACACACACAGACAGACAGACAGACAGACAGACACATGAAAACAGTGTCGAAAGATGCCCTTGGTAGTTAGAAACCATGATTACTAGTGCAATGTTCTCCTTCTAATCGTCATGTTGCCATCTTGCTCACTCAGAAGCAAATTATTTCCCGCAGCACCTTGAGCTACTTGCCGATTCTGCGGTGCAATTATTTATAGGCAGAAGTGGCAATATCTAAAATTCAAATTTGCGCAAAGTTTCAATTTCCAGACTCTTCTCCCATGACTCCTCATTGCCACATGGAAAAAGAAGGTGGCGTTTTTATCTCATTTAATGATCAGATGGTCGGCTGATTCTGTTTTTTGCAGACACCGTGCAAGAAAAATAGTTAAAGTAAAAAAAAAAAAGTTATAGTGACAGTTTCAATGTCCCGTGATTTTTGGATAATTTTGTTGGAACTGATTAAATTCTGGGGTGTTTGAAAGTCTGAAGAAAAATTTGGTGGTGGGGTGGGGGTTGGTGTATATAGCCATTTTAAGCATGGTAAGTAAATGCTGAGGTTTGTGTGACTGTTCTTGTCTGACAGTTCAAGTCTTTGAATATTGATAAAAATATGAATATTCCGTCTTCTGTTTTGGAAATGCTGAATTCATCCTCTTCTTTTGCTTATGGTTGTTAAGAAAGGGCCTCCCCCACATTGGCACACAGCTTGCACTCACGATCAACCAATGGGAGGGCGACAGAAGAGATGAAACAAGTGCTCAGGGAAAACGAGGGAGAAGCGGGATTACGTAACGGGGGAATTTGACGTACGCGAGAGCCGAGGAGCTTACGTCAGCTGTAACTGGGAGAGAAAGAGCAGGCAAGCTATGTAGGTCACATTAAAAACGCATGCGCTTATTCCAGATTTGGCCAACTTCAAGGACTGTAACGTTATGGTTCTGCACATTTAATGCGGAAACATAAAACATGAGTCGGCAGTAGTCTTAGCGAATGACTCCAGCTGAATTATAATAATTATTTTTTTATATATTAGAAAAAAAAAACAGCTCCACAATCATTTAAAGCACAAGTTTTGTCATCCTGCATCTTGGTTTGAATTCACTCAGCACAGTTAGAGAAAATGAGTGGCTCTAAAGTCTCTACCGCCGCCCGGGTCCAGCACAAGAAGCCTTCGTGAAGTTGTTTTGAGATGTTGAGGAGAAAGCCTCTTTAGCTGTAAATACAACATAATGAAAGCGGATTGGGAGTGTTTATGCAAATGAGGCATAAAAGGGGTAATGAAAACACGATGGCGATGATAATGACGCTCTCGTGTAGAGATAAAGCTGGCAGCGTAGGGTTTTTTGAAATGCATCTGCTGGTGTATTTTGCTCTGAACCTGCTGAAAATGAAGAAAATGCTGTCCTGACATGATGGCATTTTCTTGCACACAAATGCCTTTCCACCTCATTGGGCTCTGAAGGCCGAATGTTCTCGGCACAACCGGTTTGTGTCCGTGCTAGTTGTACAGAACAGATCCCAAAATCAATGTTTGAAACGTTGAGACTTACGGTGAGCCGTCCTGCTCGGGTCACTCTGCGCGCTGTCGGCCGAGTGTGCGGAGGAAACGGAGGACACGCTTGAACTCCTGACGAAGCCAAACGCGGCCAGGCGGCCCACGGGTAGTCGGGTGGAACTGTAGCCAGGCGCGCGAAGGCCTGACTGGCTTCCTTTGGGAAGCAGGGTCCTGGAGGTCACGGCCTGCGCCTGTGCTGATGCTGGAGCCTCAGGAGCGGGAAGAGTGAAAACCTCATCGTCAGCTAGAAAAACACACACACACACACACACACACGCACATTGTCAAATAGGTTTGCAAACAGTTTGTTGAATAATAGCAGAGAAGAAGAAAAGACGGTAGAACAACAGTCGGCTTTAGAAAAGTAGTAAACCTTGATCATTTCACCCTTTCAATACCTGTACAATTTTTTTTTTTGGGGGGGGGGGGTACCCAAACCAAAAGTATTGTGATACTGTTTTTAAACTCTTCACACTCAAAACATAGAGCGGACAAACCTTACTTTATGTCGAGCGGTAATTGGGCATTTTTGTGTACGTGATTGGAGCGGGCTAAATACAGCATCACCGTCATGTTTATGACTAGTGCGATCGTTCATCATTTTGTGCTGATTTTTTGCTCTCCGCGGGCTTCTCTGCTCAGTCCACAATTTTCAGAATTACAAATGCTGCTCTCAACCGCTTTTGGCTTTGTGTGGTCCTCCTTGCAGGCTGAGCGAATGGCCACTTCTTTATCTCATGCCAACATTGACACAGGATTTAAAACGCGTCGAGCAATTTGTGGCTTTGCTTGTTTTGACAAGAAATCCTTCAGTCAAGCTGGTCAATCAGGAAATGCAGGAGGGAGGCAGAAAAAAAACAGTTTTTGTTGGACAAGAGGGGAAATCTCTTTTTTTTTTTCCCCCCCCCAAACACCTCGACATGCGTACACACTCCACCGGCCCTTGCAAGTTCTAGAATAAGGGTAAAACATTATCCCCTGCTGGCTGCAGAGATAAGACAGGAAGCTATCGTTTCTTCTCCAATTGCCACAACTCTCCGCTGGGCGCTGCAGAGCCAACAACACATCAATCCGCGAGGAAAAACATTTTATGAGTGAAAACGGAAGCTCCGTTTGTGTGTAGCCGTTTTCAGGAAAAGTGGGGGAGACGTGGCGACTTTTCCATCTTGTCAGCCTGCCAGCCCATTGCTCTGAGTATTCGATTTGGAGCACACTGCTCTCGAATTCTCAGCTCTGGATCATTAAAGATAAATGTGCCAATTTCACCCCTGTCCCCGTTTCTGGTCCTCCCCCTTCAAGTGGGAAGGGACAGAATAGATTCTGACAAATATCCACTTCAACCCAAACAGCATAAATCCTGCTAGTCTCTCGCCGCTGATCGAAAACACACATTTTTTTTATTCCCCCCAAATGAATCTGAAGAGATGAGAGTGCGGCTCTGGTGAGATCTCAACGGGATCTCATGCTATACAAAATGTTAGGATTGCATGCAGTGTTTGTCGGACTGGCAGCAGCGGGGGCGGCGTGAGATGGATGCAGCAGGAAGCTAGTGACATTAATTAAGAGTTAAATGGAGCTCACTTCAAAGCCCGCAGGTCCCAGAAGGCCAGCAGGCAGCACGAATCAACAGAGATTATCAGAAGAAGATGGGGCACATGATAGCACTGTGCGAAAATAAAATCGGAATGTATAGAGAGACGTTTCCATCTGATGGAATGTGTTGCACTACTAGCCTGCGTTCTCAGCTTGATTTCATGTTATTAGACCCAGGGCGAGAGCAGTTTAAATATGTATGGAGGTGAGAAATGGAATTTCAACCCATCAGCAGGTAGAATGATGAGCACATTTCGAGCTTCGGTGTGCCAGCGACAGTCTCACACCGCAACATAAATCGGACTGCAGGTGCCCGGGGGTAGAAAGTGAATTGTCTGAACTGGAAAATGGGTCGGGTATTTATTAATTTCTGCTTCATAGACGCAGCCTCTCGGAGCAGGACGTTCCCCCCTCAGAGCGGCGCGCGTCTTGGAATCCTCCAAATGGATCAACCAGAATTTGAGCGAATGCATTTTAATGAGCTGCTTTCATCTCGGGCCAAATTTGTCAGAGCAGTCCTTCATCTACTTTCTGCTACAGATAGGGAACAGCTTGTGTGTCACATTTCTGGTAGCTGAAATGAAATTGGACAGTTTTTTTTTTTTTTTCACCTGTGGTGCTGTGGCTCTTCTGGCTGGCTGCTGGGCAGACTTGTTGGATGACTGTTGACCTCTGACCTTTGCCCTTGACTGAACTTGAAGCTGTCCTGGTCACAGCACCCAGGCCTAAACGTAGACCTCTGCCAGAGCGCAAGAGACTTCCGCTCCCTCCGGTCTGAGCGGCTGTCCGAATCTGTATCGGGTCCTCCGCGGAACTCTCTTTAAAACTGGCTGATCTGCCGACCTAAAAATGATGGATAAAATACCTCGATTAAGACCGTACGACCTTACTCACATATGAGAATCTTCCCTCTTCCTACCTCTGAGTGTGTTCCATAGAAGTCCCCCATTTTACCGGCCAGTTTTGGGGGCGCTGTATAGCTGTGCGTATGTGTTGGAGGGACGGTGTTTGAATGTCCCGGAGCCCGGATACTCCGACTCAGTAATCCTGATGGGAAGATATTGGTTTGCATGTCTTTGTGGTACTTGTCGAAAAGCAAGTTGGAGGCACTGAGTACTGGCGACCCTCTGGTTTCTTTCTCAGGCTTGAGGGGGTCTTGAGGAGTCTCTTTGAAAGAACTAGATGACGTTGCACCTGCGCCATGTGTGGATACGGGCAACCTTGCTGGCAAAGAAGATACCTGATAAGGTCCGTCGGCAGCCTGAGGCTTGAACTGAGGATTTTTACGGACGTAAGTGATGATTTTTGGGCGGATTCCTTTAGGTTTGAGTTTGGGTGAAGGAGAGCTCTCTTTGGGGCTCGAGATATGGCTTGAATTGGGGACGATTTGCTGGTTGGGGAGAGGCGCTCTGGGGATTCCCGTTGGATTTATGTGGGTTGGAACTGGCGCTTTCGGGCAAACGCTGTCATGGCCCTGGGCTGATGGCTTGACATCAGGGTTGCTTCCTGAAGGGGTGTGTTGAACTCCTCGATGTGCCTCCTTGGAGATGAGGTGCATCGAGGCTTGCCTGTGTGGTGAGCCCTGCGGCGTCCTGAGAGGGGAGTGGGGAGGCGTAAACGTCCTTTTGGGACTGGAGCAATTCCGTCTGTAGGTGAACTGAGTCTGGGGTCGCTTCTCCATGGTGGAAGATTTGGAGGCGTTTGAAGTCGACTTTGTCATTGAACCTGGTTGCTTCTCCGCTGACAAAACCTCCTTTTTGGCTGCCTGGTTGGGCTGTCTGGATTGGAAGACTGCGTATGTGTTGTAAAGATGTGAAAAATCGGATGGTTCGCGTAGAGATGATCTCGTAAGCTTTTTGTTTGACCCATTGGGAGCGTGACTTGGCGAAACCGTTGCGGTGTTGTTGGAGGGTGGTCGTCCGACTTCAGCACCCTGACCGCGGAGCTCCGCTAAGTTTTGAGCTCCACCCATTTCTGACTGACACAGGGGTCGAACAAGCTGTTGTCGCCTCGGTGGTGGAACCCTTTCCTCAAATCCCGCCCTTCTTCTTTGGCCCAGACCGCCATCCGAGGATGATCCATTTCTGCAATGGCTTCTCTCATCCTGTCCGTCATCCTGACTGCGGCATCGTTCACGTTTCTCCTGATCACACAATGGCGGAGGGTCGTTTTCGACTCGAGCTGCCCTTCTTATAGCTTGGGCTGAGGTAGTGTTGTTAGCGTAACAAATGTTGGTCTTGGAGCTGGGCAGACAGATAAAAGTTTCTCTGCTGGAATCCAGAGTGCTGGACAGACTTCCACTGAGACTGATCGCGGATAGATTGGAGACGAACACGTTTGTTTCCGACTTGGACTGCTTCAGCCCTCCCCGACCTTTCTTGGTGTTCTCTTCTTCGGTTAAGCCTGCCTCACAATTGCCTTGCTCTGTATTATGACACGTGTTCTTTGCCCGCTCCTCTTCGTCCTTCGGAGTTCTGTTCAGCACTTTGTTGCTGTCGTTGTCGTTCCTTCTCACCCCAGTGGAAGTAGAGCTGGCAGTTGAACTGGAGGAAATGGACATCGGACCCTCACCCTTATCTTCTCCTGTGCTTCGCCCGTCTTCGTCATCGTCGTCCTCTACATTTGGGTTTCTCAAGAATGTGTGTATGGCCGGACACTCCACGAGCTCGATCTCTCTGAGCCCAGGCTCTGAACATTGCTGCTCGGAGCCCCAGATGATCATCTTGTCGTGGGATTCGCTTTGTGACACCAAAGGTGGAAGCGAGGTCGTATTGCATCCTGTGCCTTCTGACAAGCCTCCTTGATCGCTCAAAAAAGCGAATCGATTGGCATTGTCATCGCCAGTGCGAGGAAATTGGTTTGGAGCTTTGCTTGTGATCTTTTCCGCTCTCTCAACAACCCCGTTCCCCTTGAAGCTAGTGGGGATGCTCATTTTGGAGGGTTTCTTTCGAGCGCTCAAAGATACCAGGCGGTTACTTTATTAATCCCAAAGGAAATTCGGGAGCCCGAGGCCATTGATTGACTCAGAAAGCACTCTGTTTTCCCTCCTTATTTGGTTCTGGTTCTTTTTGATGCTGTGATGTGGTCTTCCAAATATAGAGCTTTTTTTTTTTTTTTTTACACCAGCTCACCACTCATCTTGCATTCCCTTTGAGCGAGCAAAGCAATCTGCGGTGACTCTGCATTGAGGGCTCTTTGATCTGAAAGGAAAAAAAGAAAGCAAAACAGAGCACTGTAAGAATACAAGATCCGTTCATTTGGAGAATAGCTTTAAAAGCAATTTCTAAAATGATATCATTTTCCGTCATCATCAGTGGTCGGTTGCATCGCATTATTCAAGTCTCTTAATAGCATTTGTTTTCGATCTCCCATAACTGTGGTCAAAATCATCACGCGCTCAAAATGTAAAAGCAAGAGTGCCACAGGTATGGGTACAGATTCATCAATTATAAATTCAGGTGAGTGAGGAGGGAGGGCTGATCTGCACTTGTTAGACTGGGATGACTCGGAGAGGTGAGGAGGAAGAAGGAGAAGAGTAGAGAAAGATTTGTAATGAGCCCTTTCCTTCATGAGACACCGAAATTTAAAAGGCCTGGGACAAAACATTATCTCGCTTCACACGTATTTCTTTGATCCACCGTCCAGTGCGGGGCAATGGCTAAAAGTGTCTGCATCCCGCGAGGAGGCAAAAACATGCCAGTGTTGAGGAGCAAAAGCAAAGCACCAGCTCATTGCGTATAAATCCATATTGTCGGCCTGATCTCTGCAGGGGGTTAACGCGCTCCTCGAGCATACCATATGGCTGATTCGACTATGAGTCGCTCGTGTTCAACAACGGAACAGAGCACTCGGTTTCTTTGCAACAAAAGACCAAAACAAAACTCGTGCTTGTTAAGAATCGTGTTTGTCCTCGTTTTTCAAAAATGTTGACACGCAGGGTAATAAAGGTTAATGATAGACAATTTCATCTGCAATGAAAGGAACATATTTTTTGGAATGTGGGAGGAAGCAAGAAAACCGAGACAAGCATGATATGTAAATTACACACAGGAAGCTTGCAGCTGAGATTAAAACCCAGAGCTTTGTAACTGTGAGGGGCAAGCATATTCACCGCAACTCACCACATTACACGATCAGTGTAGTCATGCTTTTATCAACTCTACCTTTCTAATTCATCCTCATGAATACTTGAGTCGATTCCAAGTTTGCAAACGGAGCTCCTGCAGTTCAATAATCGGAGCAGCGGGGGCATCAGCACTCATTAGCAGGTAGCCTCTTCTTCGGGTGATGCTGACAGATTGGCAAAGACAGCAGCCGCTTTTAATGAAGAAACTGTTGGAAGATTTAGCTTGTAATGTTATCATACGTATGGCAACTCGAAAATGAGGTCTTGGTTTCCAACAGGCAGGAAAGAAAGGGCTGCCGCAATGACTTCTGTTGTTGTAGGGCGGAGAATCGAGTCGCTTGATTGATGGCCAGAGCACCAAATTTTGTGTTGATACTACGTTTTATTTCTCTTGGCTGTAGTTTTTTTTTTTTTTTGTAACAAGTTTGCTCACGCATGATATCAAAATATTTTAACTTTAGCCTTCCTTACATCGCCTGCTTAACGAGCTACCGCCGACCTGCCTTCAAATCTTGTGCTCGAAATGCATAACGGGAGACTGTTCCGAACAGCAACGTGTATCCTGAAGAGCTTTGCTCAACATCCTTCTTGCCGTTTTCTACCATTTATTTCTGACATTATTCCAAGTTTGCGTTGGATTTGGAAGACAAACTGCTGCGGAACGCGACGCAAACCATGATGGTGGACAATCAGTGTGCTCGCTGTTCCGCTCTGCCTCGCTGCAAATATTTACCCTCAATTGGCGCACACAAACAAATGACTTGCTAATTATGAGCGCATACACGGAAACTGATTTGACGAACCAGGGGAGCTGAGAGGGACACGTGAGATGACATCGTGGTGAAGCGATGCTCGTGTAAATGCAGCGTTGCTCTCTGTGCTGATGACGGCGCACTTTGAACGGTGCAATGGTAGAAACCTGTATATTATTGAATAAATTGTCCCATTGAGTTAATAAATATATACATACAACCTAATTTGGACAGGAATAAGCTGGATATGCCTAAGAAAAAGGATGTCAGGGTCTACCTTTGGGTTGCTCTGCCCCGTGGTAATAATAAAAAAGCGAAAGGAGTGACATGGACGAAAGAAATGAAATTCTAACCAGAAATATTGCACATATAATCAGCCTTTGAAATGTGTTTCATATGCATTTGGAACATATCTTTGACACGTAGATTCAGGGAGTACTCAGGACTTTTCCCAGTCTTTTTAAAAATTCATTCTGATGAATGAAACCCCAGTGAATCTCCATTAAAAAAAA